ATGTTATATAAAAAAATGCAGTGGCACAAATCTTGATTGTCTTAATTGCCTATAAGGTAAAGAGGGAGTAAGAAATAAGCTACTCAAATGGCTTCCATCTACAGAGAACATAAAACTGAGGCTTGCCCAGGCCAGAGCCAGGTGGCTCTATTGGCGGAGCATCATCCCATACACCAAAAGAAAAAAAAAAATTGTAGGTTCAATTCCCAGTCAGGTTACATACCTAGTTGCAGATTCGATCTCTGGAAGTTGGGGAACATATGGAAGGCAGATCAATGTTTCTCTCTCTCTCTCTCTCTCTCACTAAAAATCAGTAAAAATATATCCTCCAGTGAGGATTTAAAAAAACAAACAAACTAGGGCTAGAACTTCCCAACAACAGGTGATCCTAGTTATTAGTGATGATCTGTGACACTAATTTATCTGAGCAAAAGTATGTATTCTTTCTAGACATTCTCATGACAATTTTTATAAAATTGGAGTCTTTAAGCATACCAATTAGGTACATATCACAGAAGAGCAGTGGGATTTCATTGGTAACATTATTTGAAGCTTTATAGATTTGAATCCTAAGTCCCTTGGGAGTTCCAACTTTCTGTCAGATTTTCTGCTTGGCAGTTAATGGGACAGAGTGCTATGTTCCAATTCAACTAAAGGAGATAGGCCCTTAGAAAGCACTTTATTATTGTGATTTGTGGATAATTTTGCAATCATTCCTTGTGAAGACAGGTTGACATATAATTGGACCTAAAAGAATTGTATTTTTATGGGGGCATAGCAGCGTAGCATTTTATATCCCATGACACATTGGAGCAGCCTGACATTGCCTGGTGCCTATGCTATGACCCTTCATTTCACATATGGCTTACATGTTGGTTTTGGCATACATTGAACTTGTGTGAGATAAAATGAGTCAATACTTTTGATTTAGTACCAAAGCTTTGGAGCTGTGTTTGGCTGGAAACCACTGGCTATTGTTTTGAAGGAAAATGGGTCAAAATTTTTTTATTGAGCGACAAATGGCTTTGAAGAGATGTTGACAGACAAACTCTGGGTTTGTATCACTCCAACTTCTCTTGCTTTTTAATTTGTTCTGTTACAATAGATTTCTAATCCCAGCAGCCTGGGCCCCCTGTCATTGCCAGTCATCATTGTAAATCCCATCCAGATACAGTCCAAACCTTCTCAATAACTCTTCTTATAAAACAGCTGTTCTTCTGAACTTCCCCAAGCCTGGCTGCATCCTCCAGGTCTTCCTGCTCAGGCACGCCCTTTACATATGCCCGGCTCCTCTGCAGATCAGGACATACATATTATGTGTAACCAAGATGCTTCTTTACATCAAGCTCTCCCCCTACCACCACCATGGTTTCCATCACTGTCTGATTTCACACATCTGCACAGACCAGTTTACATCTGAATTGGAATGTTCCCCCTAATACCTGGATATTAGGAAGTAGAATGCAATGTAGGCACATGCACTTAATAAAGGTTGAGTGGTGATGTTTTGACGTTTTCAGTGAATAGAGTTGAGACTATATTTAGGTTGCGCCTGAGAAAAGTAATTGGGGGAGTGTATTCTCCTCTAGAAACTACTGACCATAAAGAATGAGTCATTGACCTAAATCTTTTTGGAGGAGGTGGAGTGGGGGCTTATAAACAACAAATGCATTTCTCACAATTCTGGAAGTTGGGAAGTCTAAGATCAAGGTATGGCAGATTCTGTGTCTTGTGAGGGCTCACTTCCTCATAGATAGTTGTCCTCTTACTGTAACCTCACATGAAAGGTGACCTAACTCTTGTTTCCAGACACAAATGCCCATATCAATAAATCAGCAGACATTTGTCAAGAACTTTCTGTAAAAATGACCCTCATTGTGGGAAGGCATTATCTAGGCCAGTGGACACCAACCGGTGGTCCGCAGACAACTGGTGGCCCGTGAGGTCTGAAAGGTTGGTGACCGCTGATCTAGGCAGCCTGTTTAAAAGGCAGAATCTTTAGCCACGCATGCACAGCTTCTGTGTATTGTGAAACTAAAATTTGAGGTGATACCGAAGCAGGCACTTCAGAGACCACGTTTTGAGCATTACTGGCCTGCCATATAACAAGAACTGTATTAGCAAAGAAATGGTGACAAGATGATCTCTTACCTCAAGAAGTTCATAGATGAGTGAGAAAGAAAGCAGTTAATGACAATGAAATGTGATTCATACTAAAATCAGAAACACAGAGAGGGGCTACTTATGCTATAGGTGCCTTGTCAGAAGAAACAATACATGGAGTTTCTCTGGATAAACAAGGGAGTTCCAAGGGCATTTCAGATACAAGGAGAAATTTACTGAAAGGCCCAAATAGAGTACTTACCAAATAAGTGGACCAAACTCCTTTTTGGACTTTAAGCTTTTTAGCATCTCAAGGTGCTGAGAACCATCAGCTCTAACCACAAGTGTTTGATCAGTCTCCTGCCACTGACTCACAGCCTCCCTCCCTCCACTTACCATTGTTGCTTTATCACTCTGCACTGCTCACAGACAACTGTGCCCTGTGGCTTGTGGAAGACTCAGATTTCACATAACATCATTCCTCCTACTCCCTTAGAGCCTTTGAATGGGCTGCTATAGGAAGCCAGAATACTTCAAGTTGGCTATAGTCAGGCCTCCATTGGTTTCTAGAGAGATAGCTGTTCCTCTGCAGTGTTAAGGTTCCTGGACATCCTAGGGCTGCTCCTCCCCGTCCCCCCACCCTCCACCCCAATGAGCTGATAGACCCACAGTTTTCCGGGCTTCCCAGAAGACTAGCAACCAGTGTGGATGTAGGGGAAGCTAATCTCAGCCAGAACTATACAAGGTGACACAGTGTGGAATGAAACTCCAAGCAGCCTGAGGAAGGGAAGTATATTCTGGTAGGATCCCATTTCTCATTCAACTCAAAGAGAATACTGCCCTGACTAAACTGAATGTACAACTCGATATTTTGTTCTCATCAGGTAAACAAAAAAGTTTATAAGTTCACAAGACAAAAAGAGGGGAGTGGGAGGGATTGGCCCTGTGACAAACCACAAGACCTGATGATCTTTAAACAGCACTAATCAGGGTAGGCCCACTCTCTGCTGGCCTCCCCTGATGACTCCCTGAGACCCCACACCAGCACAAAGGTGTGCAAGCACCCGGTGGGTGGCAGCTAGACTTGGTATAACTGGAGACATTGGCTGAGTGGCCTCAGGCCCAGCGCTGTCACCGAGTTTGAACTGCTAACAGTCTGGTGAACACCACTCACCTCTACCTGGCAACCCACTGTGAACCTACCTCATGCAGCTCTCTCAGTGACTGAGCCTAACTGGCAGCTGGTGGAGTGAGAGAGGGGCGGTGCATTTTGGGGTGCCTTAGGACTTCTGCTGACCTGTCCTCAGGCCTGGTGCTGGGAAAAACCGGCATGGATGTACAGCTTGGCCCTTCCCACATGCACCCAGCGGTAGGAGAGGAATCAAACAATGCCAACTAAGTACACTAAAAATGGCGATTTGCCACCTAAAGATATTAATATTACCATTATTACCTTTTATCATCACCATTATTTCATAAAAAGACATTTTAGCAAAAAAAAAAAAAAAAAAGGAAGAATGTGGTCTCAGAATAAAATAGTAGGGCTTTAATATCTCAAGAAAAACAGGTCCACTTCTGAAAGTGAGCTTTGAGCTTATGGAGAAATGTAATGAATTATTTCTATCTTCCTCATTTCACTGCAAACCAATACAGCCCACCTAAAAGCAGGGTTCTGAGGACAGGTGCTTGAGGGCGCTTATCCAGATGCTTCAGAATAAACTGGCAGGCATCCCAGAGATTCCAAGTATCACACAGGCGACCAGGGCACCATGAGAGCCTACCCCAGATCAACCCAAGGTCACCCACCGGCTATTCACAGGGTGCCCTCCTACAAGAATGAGGAACTCTTGTCTAGGGCTCTCCCTGACCGCATTTCATACAAGGTGGGCGTCCCTTTGCTTTGGCTTTCAAGTATCAAAGCTTCCAAAGAAACAATGTGAGGGCTTACCCTCAGATTTAAGTCATCTCAAAGCCTGCTTAACAGAGAACTAAACAGGTGTCATCCAAACACGGTTTCTTAACTAACAAATGGAAGCAAGGTCCTCATGTCCTCTACTTTGATTTTGTATGTGAGAGCAGTGAGAGTAGAAAGGCAATGCTTGTACTTCAGCCCTGACACCAACATCAAGCTTTTCATTTATCAGTACAGTGTTGACAGTTGATTTTCTTCACGTTAGAAAAGCCTTCTTATTTATTTATTTATTTATTTATTTATTTATTTATTTATTTATTTTTAAAGCCTTCTGATCTATAATCAGACTCCAACCAAACCATCCATTCCTGGACCTTTTGAATGATCGTGTAAGTTACATCAGAGAGGAGAAAGCAAGCGGGCTCCCTTCAAACAGCAGCAGCAACCAGGGAGCAATAGCAAAGGCTTCAGACAGGATTTATGCTTCCTTCAGTGGCAGTTAGGGGAAATATGGATTAAATACTTTTCATAACTAGCAGCTATAATTATCAGGGAAATTTGAGGCAGCGTAATTTCTGACACAGCTGTGTGAGCCTTTTTCACACGACAAAGTCCACCGAGGGAAAGAAAAGAGATAATTTTATCCTTCTAATAACTACAATTTTATATTGGTAAATCAAGCATAAAATTGGTAGTTGAAATGCTTCCAGGAGCCTTTGTTTAGCAATACCTTTATTCATCTACATCGTCTCTCAGGCTCCAGCTTCTCCAACTACTATAATCCATGAGGTAGTTCTGTCTGTCATGTTACTGTGACTGTCTTCAGAGTGGCTGTTACTGAATGCTTGTTAGAAATGGCAAGACCATAAATAACTTAGCCTGACAAAACCATCATTGGAGTTAGGTGACATTATGACATGTCATCTCATAGATGAGACTCTTATTTGCCTCTTAATAATGTCCAATATTTGTCTCTTTAATTCAGGCATCATATCAACGTTTCTTCATGTCCATCCTTTCGGAGCCAATATAGAATATCTTTGGTCATACATGCAGCAGCTGGACTCCAAGGTAAATTCTTTTTCTTTAGGGGACTTGCACTGCTGGAATTGACATGTCAGTTGCTGGTTGCAGGGGGGGCTGAGAGCTGCATTAGGGGTGCACGAACCGATGGAGGTCAGTCAGCATTTCTCCTCTACACGACCTGGTTTTGGGGCAGATTGTTGTTTTCTTTTCACTTTTGTCTTGTAGAAAGAAGGGCAGTTACCCAAGATGACGGTGACTTTTTCAGCAGATGCCAAATTACTTTAAAAAGCATATGAGCGATTTAAAATTGCAGGTTGTCTCAAAAGTTCCCAAAACAAGGGAGAAATCAGGTCAGGGTAGCTAATGGGCCATTATCCTTAGACCATGTTCTCACAGAATTCTGTTAAGGACTCCACACAAGAGAGGAAAAATCACCTCAAATAACATAAAGATCTGATATAACTCTCAAGAAAACTGTATTAACGGTTGTTTTTCAGCATTATTCTCTAAATGACAAAAATAACCATTGAGTCAGCTTTGTCCCTCCAGGTCACTTCCAGAGTCAGGACATCACTCCTCATTTCTCTGGGGCTGTTTCTTCCATTTGCAAATTGCTGTACTCCTGGCCCACTGCAGGGTTTGTGTGCCCAAAGAGAGGGGGCACAAGAGCTCAAGTTATGTATGGAATTCCGGTGAACAATGAGAGGGCCCCTGGCGAAATAAAGTGATGTCATTAACCAGTACTGCCCGTGGGGGCCCTAGAAAGGGATGGACACAGAATCAAACCGAGAGGCAGGGCCTGTCACTGAGCAGCTTGTTAAACGTCCTGCTGGGAAGAAAAATGGAAATAAGAAGCTCTTCCATAGAGCACCACAAAGAGCATGGGGAGAGTAGGGCCAGGAGCACAGCCAGCAGTCCTATGACCCTGAAATGCACGCATTGTCATTCTAAATATACAATGGTCAGTATCAATTACATCACTACACTGTGTTCTTATTTTGATTCAAATGATTTTACCAATTCATGATTCCACAACTGTTTAACCTTTCTAATAGGGCTTATTCTTTGCCTTTGAGAGAAGTCATCTGGAATAAAAAGTATTTTTTAGTCACAGAGATGCATGCCCTTTTATGCTCTCACAGCTGGTGATGGGTAGACCAAACAGAGTGAAAGGGAATGAGGAGACTGTAGGATTCTTGAAGTTCAGAGTCATAATGTGTCTTCTTGGTGGGCTCCCCTCATATGGATAGGGAGGTGTTAGAAAATGCTCATTTTAGCTCACATGAAATGAGAGGGGAGAGCTGGAGATGTCACTTTGTTGAAATAATGCTTTGAAAGGCTTCTTTGTTGCTTTTTTTTTTCCTTCACCAATACCATTCTTCCTTAATATGTCCACTACCTTTGCCTGGAGAATTAGATGTAATGCTGCTCACACCAATGTGTTTGGCCTAGAATAAGCCCTCAAGAAATTATTCTTATTGCTGCCATTGTCTTCCCTTGTATTGTTGATGTCTTTCCCCCCCTGTGTGGAAATCCTAAGTGGGAAGCCTTTGTGGAGAAGCTGTTGGGTTTTAGTATGAGCTGAAACGGCCAAAGAATACACTTGTTCTTTATCGATGAATTCCAGGGTGCTTGTCCCATCTGCTCCAGCAAGTGTGGGTTGCTGATCTGTGCATCTGTGAAGTATGTGTGTGTGTGTGTGTGCACGCGCGCATGTGTGTGCACACGCACACGTGTGAAATAATTAATAAATAATTAATTATTTTGGTGGAGTAGAAGCTCTTGTTTTATTCTCACCCTCAAAACAGAGTGTCTGTCGGCTGAGGCCTGTGTGGTCTCCTCAGACATCTCAGAGGAGAGCATTCACCTACCTGGTCTCTGGTCATCAAATGTGGGCCCTCCAGGAAGGGAATCGGTCAAAGGGAATTCCACTGCATCTCAGACTGGTACTCTCATTTACAAGATAATGACGAAATACACAGGGTCTCCCCCAGACAGCCCTCCATCTCCTGAAGGAAATGCTCAGGAGAAATGTCAAACCTTTCTCTCGTGCCCGAGGTAAAAAAATATATGGAAAAAGTGCTCTGACTTAAAAACTCCTGGGTGCTAGTGATTGAACTAAATATTCTTTCTATCCCAGTGAAGCTGAAAGGATATTGACTTTTTAATCCAGACAGCAAATTATTGCTCTGTGCTGGGATTCCATATCCTCGGGGCTTTAAGCAGAAAACAAAATAATGAAAGGTTGCCGGCTAAGTATCCACCAGGGCCTTGTCCCTGCACCAGCTGTGAAAGGCTCATAATCCCGGAGCCAGAGCCAGAGCCACCGCCAGCCCGTTCATGCTGAGGCTGTCCAGTGAGGCAGCCGGGTGCACCTGCCCTCCCCCCACCCACCTCACACACAAGGTTTGGTCAATGTTGCATTTAGGCAGTGGCTTCCTCCTGCCCTTCACAACATGGGGGTGGAGGGGTGCTGACTCCAGTAGGACAGCTTTTTAAAAATTCCACTTGGAACAACAGTTTCCTTCACATAGGACACCATCGCCATCACCACAAATGTTGTTAAATTACATTTAGATTCTGCCTATCCCAGTGCTGATGACAGCAAGGAAAACAGGCTCAATCCAGCCTGCAGCTGTTTTTATTAGGATTTCCCCAAAGGCCACATACAGGCATAAGAATGATGAGAAATGGAAGGAGAGACAGGAATTAATTTAAGTTCTCCTGGCCAGGTAAATTGCACAGGCTCCCTAAAACTCTGTAACCCGATAATGGACTATTTTCCAGTTAAATATTATTCCTGCTCTTGAAAATGATAATTGCATATCTTTCTCTTCTCTGCTGCCTTTAAACCACTCACTCTCATTCACTCAGCTCTGACGTATCAATAGCATATGACCAAGTAAGCCATTCATTCAGAGGAAGACAGGGAAAAGGCAGTAGGGGCTCCCTGAAGCTGTGCTGAGTCAAAAACCATGTCCTGGGCCCACGCAGGTTAGCTCTTCAGATGGCAGCCCCATCTGGAAAATGGTTTCTGATCAATACAGAGACTCTCCCACATCAGCCCAGAACCCTTTAACCCTAAGGAGCAAAGAGGTGAGCATTAGCAGGTGAACATGCCTTTCTACGGCCAATGGGACAGATCCCTCTGCCCCTCCCCCAACTTGTGAATTCTTTTGGAGACTAAGTCCCAGTTCTCCAAGTGTGTCTGGCTGCTCGTTCTACTAGTATGTACCTTTAGCCTCTTCCCAAGGCCCATTGAGTGGAAGCTTTGATTCTGAAAACCAGACTTGACATAACATAGCTGCAGATGCTGGAGGATTTAGAAAGGCCTGTCATTTGGGCATGATACCACTGTATGGTGCATGGCCACATGCACATTTCCCATCACAGGGTTGAACCATTTGCATTTCTGTACAAAAAAAAAAAGAAAGAAAGAAAAAAAAGCATACCTCTTGAAAATACAAAATTAAAATATCTGGTCAATTTCAAGGAGATTCAGATCAGCCTTAAGTGGAGAGCATTCTTTCCCAGACTAGCTAGGGAAAATGGTAGATGAAATGTTCCCAGTAGTGTTTGTAAAACTGCCCACCTGAGTAATTTTTAATAGTATGTATATTTAATAGTATGTATGTTCTCCTAAATAACTACCTTTCACAATATATTAATGATTGAATGAGTTTTTCTATTGCTTAGACAGGCTATAATGAATGTGTTTTATAGATATCACAGCACCTCAGGAAAATGTATGACATATGACAAGCATTGGAAGTAACAATACTTCCATTTGGCTGCATAAAGAATAAAAGGATAGTTGCTTCCCAACCAGCATGGCTCAGTGGTTGAGCTTTGACCTATGACCCAGAAGGTCATGGTTTGATTCCTAATCAGGGCACATGCCCGGTTGTGGGCTTGATCCCCAGTGGGCGACATGCAGGAGGCAGCCGTTCAATGATTCTCTCTCATCATTGATGTTTCTATCTCTCTCTCCCTTTCCCTTTCTCTCTGAAATCAATAAAAATATATTTTAAAAAAGACAGTTGCTTACCTATAGCAAGAGAAATTGGCAGTTACCAGGGACCCAGTGAATGCTCAGGTAATTCACTGCTTTTCAGATACTCAGCACTGTCCTAGGGACTAGGAAGAACAGGGAATGGCCAGAGAACAAAAGAAATTTAAGAACCCTGCTCTCAAAAAGCTTGTGGTCTAGTTGAGGAAATGGTATAATATCTACAAACCATTTTGAGAATCAGACATGAACTAATGAAGTTGGGCAAACAAATATTTAGTGATATAGGAGCTAGAGAAGAGTGAAATCACTGAGTCATGATTATTAACGGGAAATATCCTTGAATCCATGCTTATCCGTGTGGCTTCCCTCTGGGACACGTTAACTCTTCTTACCACATTTCTTCCCTTTCTCCTCTTTCTCCCCTTCCTCCCTTCTTTGTTTTTTCTTCTCCCATTTTTCCATCCAGGTCTTTTCTTTTCTCCTTCCAATTGTTTCCTTCTATTTACCTTCTTCTTTCCTTTTCTTTTCCTCTGTTCCTCATTCCTCACTTACCTTCTTTCCTTATTTCTTCCATACTTCCTTCCTATGTCCATCTCCCACTCCCTTCCCTCCCCAACACCCACTTTCTGTATTTCTCTCCGCAAACGTATCCTGTGCTGAGGCCATCCTTTGCCCAGGGATGTGAAAACTGTGCACTACAGGCAACCAGTCAGCTCACCCTGTGGAAGGAAATCTGGGTTTACAATCAGCTGCTCTGACAGTACAGCCTTGACAAAGCCTATGCCTCAGACAAGAACCCCGAGTCCCTCGGCTCCCCTTGCCTGATGTAGAGCCAACCATCCTTATAATAAAATTGGTTCAGGTCTGCTTGTGTCAATTTACACATGTGCTTAGAAACCTGGCAAGGAGGCAGTGGACTTGGGCTAAGAGTCAACAAATGAGAAAAAAAATTCAAGCAGACCTTACAAATTACCAACCACACAAGCCCCTTTGACACATGGAGCCTTTATTCCTTATTATCTTTCTTTTTTTT